TTCCAGACGATAACTAGAGTTATGAATGAGGTATTGTTATCAAACTTGGTATATAGCAACCTTATGTGGAAAGTCCAGTTGGTATTGCATTTGGACCCTCTGGAGTCAAGGTCAAGGTCACCGTTACTAAAAATAGAAAAATGGTTTCCGGACAATAACTTGACTTAGGAATGAGATACTGTAATCAAACTTGGTGTATAGCAAGCTTATATGAAGACCTGGGTTGGTATTGCATTTGGACCCCTTGGGGTCAAGGTCAAGGTCACCGTTACTAAAAATAGAAAAATGGTTTCCGGACAATAACTTGAGTTAGGAATGAGATATTGTTATCAAACTTGGCGTATAGCAAGCTTATATGAAGACCTGGGTTGGTATTGCATTTGGGCCCCCTGGGGTCAAGGTCAAGGTCACCGTTAGGAAAAATAGAAAAATGGTTTTCGGACAATAAGTAGAGTTAGGAATGAGATATTGTAATCTAATTTGGTGTAAAGGAAGCTTATATGAAGACCTGGGTTGGTATTGCATTTGGACCCCTTGGGGTCAAGGTCACCGTTACAGTGTTACTAAAAATAGAAAAATGGTTTCCGGACAATAACTAGAGTTAGGAATGAGATATTGTAATCAAACTTGGTGTATAGCAAGCTTATTTCAAGACCCCAGTTGCGATTACAATTAATTGAAATATATCTTTGTACACAGTTGATAGTTTGTGTTCAAATTTTTCTTCAGACTATTTTTTTTTTCATTAAGTCAAAGTTGCAGGTGGGGGTATTAATCACCTTCAGTGATAGGTCTAGTTTAGCATTTCTCTCAGTCTGTGGATTAAAGACGTAAATTGTTCCATTTAATAAACTGACACTTTCATCTGTGTAAACAAACTAATAGCGGGTGACCTTTCACATCTGGGCCGCTTATGTAATTTATACGGCCGCTTATTGACTTTAATTGTACTAGTTGTCGGATATTTTTATCTTACGTTGTTACATTAAAGTTTGCATTATGAGAATGCATAACAGTTGACAACTACAAGCATTGCTTATATTGTGTAATGACAACATTTTGATATGCTTTGAATGTAGGTAAATGATCGGTCTTTGCAAAATGTTGAATGTAAGGTTTTTATAAATCCTTAATTTTTACCGGACTGTTGGGCCGTCAATACATATATTTTTATCGGACCTTCTGCTTTTTTACCGGTCAGGTCCGACGGTCTTTCGGAAAGACTGTATGTAGTATGCATATAGAGTAAAAATCGTTTCCGCACTACTTCTCTGCAACTACTGGCTGGAATTCAACGAAACTTTATCGGAACCTTCAATACCAAGAGGAGATGCGCATATCGTCGGCTTGTTCCGGTCAGATACTTTAACTCAGAGTTATGGCCCTTGATTAGTTATGCAATATGCGTATGGAGTAAAAATCGTTTCCGCACTACTTCTCTGCAACTACTGGCTGGAATTCAACGAAACTTTATGGGAACCTTCAATACCAAGAGAAGATGCACATATCGTCTGCTTGTTCCGGTCAGACACTTTAACTCAGAGTTATGGCCCTTGATTAGTTATGCAGTATCCATATAGAAAAATATTTGTTTCCTCGCTACTAAAATCTCTGCTACTACTGGCTGGAATTCAATGAAACTTGGGATACTAAGAGGAGATATGCATATAGTCGCCTTGTTCCAGTCAGATACTAATAACTCAGATTTATGGCCCTTGATTAGTTATGTAGTATGCATACATCTCATTGGCATTTCCAGATTTTACTATTTAACACAAAGTTATGGCTCTGTTATTGCCCTGAATATTTATCAAGTTCAAAGAATATTACTGTTTATGCCATGATTAATATATAAATAAAGCCTTATGTCTTCAGTTGTTGTATTAATTATAACCAGTACCCGGCGTGGGGATATAAATTCAACGAATTTGCTTGTTTATTTTAAATCTTTGAACTTTGTCCGGGACATTACTCTAAATGTATAAGAGGTATCAACATGAAACTTTGTAGGTAGATAGATCTCATTGAGTAGGTGTGCAGTGCACAAGAACCGTTACTCTGCCTTGCCTAATTCTTGAATTATCCCCCTTTGTTTATTTTACACTTGGAACTTTGTCTGGGATATAACTCGTAACCTATAAGTGGTGTCAACATGAAACTTTGTAGGTAGATAGATCTCATTGAGTAGTTGTGCATTGCACAAGAACCGTAACTCTGCCTTGCCTAATTTTTGAATTATTCCCCTTTGTTTATTTTTACACTTTGAACTTTGTTCAGGACATAACTCTTAAACTGTAAGAGATATCAACATGAAACTTTGTAGGTAGATAGATCTCATTGAGTAGGTGTGCAGTGCACAAGAACCGTAACTCTGCCTTGCCTATTTTTTAAATTATTCCTCTTTGTTTATTTTCACACTTTGAACTTTGTCCAGGACATAACTTTAAAACTATAAGAGGTATGAACATGAAACTTTGTAGGTAGATAGATCTCATTAAGTAGGTTTGCAGTGCACAAGAACTGTAACACTGTCTTGCCTACTTTTGGAGTTATTGCCCTTTGTTATCCCCCGCCGAAAAGGCGGCGGGGGATATAGAAATAGTCTCCGTCCGTCTGTCCGTCCTTCCGTCCGTTTGTCCTTCCGTTCGACATTTTTGTCCAGAGCATATCTCTAAAAGTATTTGAGTTATCAACTTGAAACTTCATAGGTGGATAGACCTCATTGAGGAGGAGTGCAGTGCACAAGAATGATAACTCTACCCTTTATAATTTTTGAGTTATTGCCCTTTGTTATTTTTCAAAATTGATTTTTGTCCAGAGCATAACTCCAAAAGCCTATGAGATATCAACATGAAACTTCATAGGTGCATATATCTCACTCAGGAGGTGTGCAGTGCACTAGAATGATAACTCTACCTTTCATAATTTTTGAGTTATTGCCCTTTGTTATTTTTCATACTTAATTTTTCACCTGAGTGGAGCAAAACTCAAAAAGTTTTTGAGATATCAACATGAAATGTCATAGTTGGATAGATCTTATTGAGGAGGAATGTTGTGCGCAAGAATGATAACTCTTCCCTATACAATTTTTGAGTTATTGCCCTTTGTTCTTTTTCATGCTATTTTGTCCAGAGCTTACTCGAAAAGTATTTGAGGTATCAACTTGAAACTTCATAGGTGGATGGATCTCATTTAGGAGGAGTTCATTGCACAAGAATGATAACTCTACCCTGCATTATTTTTGAGTTATTGCCCTTTGTTAATTTTCAAGATTAATTTTTGTCCAGAGCATAACTCTAAAAGCCTTTGAGATATCAAAATGAAACTTCATAGGTGCATAGATCTCACTCAGGTGTGCAGTGCACACGAATGATAACTCTACCTTTTATAATTTTTGAGTTATTGCCCTTTGTTATTTTTCATACATAATTTTTCACCTAAGTGGAGCATAACTCAAAAGTGTTTGAGATGTCAACATGAAATATCATAGGTGGATAGATTTTATTGAGGAGGAATGCTGTGCAAAAGAATGATAACTCTTCCCTGTACAATATTTTAGTTATTGCCCTTTGTTCTTTTTCATACTGTTTTGTCCGGAGCTTATCTCAAAAAGTATTTGAGATATCAACTTGAAACTTCATAGGTGGATGGATCTCATTGAGGAAGTGTGCAGTGCACAAGAACGATAACTCTACCCTGCATAATTGTTTACTTATTGCCCTTTTTATTTTTCAAAATTAATTTTTGTCCAGTGCATAACTCAAAAGGCCTTTGAGATATCATTATGAAACGTCATAGGTGCATAGATCTAACTCAGGAGGTGTGCAGTGCACAAGAATGATAACTCTACCTTTTATAATTTTTGAGTTATTGCCCTTTGTTTTTTTTTCATACTTAATTTTTCAATTCAATTTTGTTCTCAAAAAGTATTTGAGGTATCAACTTGAAACTTCATAGGTGGATAGATTTTACTGAGGAGGGATGCAGCACACAAGAATGATAACCTACCCTGCATTATTTTTATGCCACCGCAGCATCTGCGATGCGGTGGCATATAGCGATTCACCTGTGTGTTTGTGTGTGTGTGTGTTATATAGATTATATAGTGAACTTAAAAAATCTTCTTGTGAAAAACCACTAGTCCAATTTCAACCAAACTTGGCAGGATTGTTCCTTGGTTGAAGGGCTTCCAAAGTTGTTCAAAGAATTTCATTCCATGCAGAAATCTGGTTGCCATGGCAACCAAAAGGAATTATAAGAATAAATTAAAAAAATCTTCTTGTAAAGACCCAAAAGGCCTAGAGCTTAGATATTTTGCATAATGCATTGTCTGGTAGACCTCTAACAAGATTGTTCAAATTATAGCCCTAGGGTCAAAATTGGTCCCGCCCCGGGGGTCATTGATTTTCACTATGTACATATAGTAAAAACTTAAAATACCTTCTTGTAAAAACCCAAAAGGCCTAGAGCTTAGATATTTTGCATAAGGCATTGTCTGGTAGACCTCTACTCAGATTGTTCAAATTATAGCCCTGGGGTCAAAATCGGCCGGCCCCAGGGGTCATTGGTTTTCCATATATGTATATAGTAAAAACTTAAAAAAAAATCTTCTTGCAATTGACAAATGCTAGAGGTTAGATATTTTGCATGAAACATTGTGTTGTAAAACTCTAGCAAGATTGCTCAAATGATAGCCCTGGGGTTAAAATTGCCCCCGCCCTGGGGGTCATTGATTTCAATATATAGATATAGTAAAAAATCAAAAAATCTTATTGTCTGAAGGTACAAGGCTTAGAGCTTTAATATTTGTTAAATAATATGAAACATTGTGTAGTGAACCTCTAGCAAGATTTTTCAAATTATAGCCCTGGGGTCAAAATTGGTTCCGCTCCGGGGGTTGTTGATTTTCATTATGTACATATAGTGGGAAAAAAAAATTTTGTGTGAAGGTTCAAGGCATAGAGCTTTGATGTTTGATAATAATATCATCTATAGTTGTTCAAATGTCAAAAATTGGCCCTGCCCGGGGGCAGTGATTCTCATTATGTACATGTAGTAAAAACAGAAAATAAAACAAATTTTTTCTGAATGGGAGAAAGCTATAGCTTAGATATTTGACTTGAAATGTTGTTTGGTGGACCTGTATCAAGATTGTTATTAAACCCTTGGGTCAAAATTATGCTTTGCCCAAGGGGACAGTGACCTACTTTCTTGTCCTTTGATGTACAGCAATGACATTTTGACGATGTGCACAGTTTTAGTTGTAAAATTGAACTTTGACCTAGATTTTGATGATGTGACCTACTTTCTTGTCCTTTGATGTACAGCTATGAAATTTGAACCATGTGGTGGCATAGCATTTTTCTCAAATGCAATCTTGTTCAGTTATTGCCCTTTGTTATTTTCTGCCATCAGTATTCACATAGGTTTCAAATCTGTAATCACTATAGCTATCAGTTTTCATTACCAAAAGATTTCTTAAAATGGAATTATTCTGCTCTACTACATATACATTCTTCCAATGAGCAAACACATTCGGCGGGGGATGGCCATGTTGACATGGCTCTTGTTCATTTTGACACTTTGAACTTTGTCCGGGACATTACTCTAAAATTATAAGAGATATCAACATGAAACTTTGTAGATAGATAGGTCTTATTGGGTAGAAGTGCAGTGCTTAAGAATCATTACTCTGCCTTGCCTTATTTTGAAGTTATTGCCCTTTGTTCATTTTTAGCTCGACTTTTTTTTGAAAAAAAAAGTAGAGGTATTGTTATAGTCGGGTCGGCGTTGCCGTTGCCGTCCGCAAACTTGTACCTGGATCATAACTTTTTTATTTCTTGGTGTATTGTCTTCATACTTGGCCACAACAACCCTTGGGACAAGACCTTTCAGTAGACCACAATAACCTTGACCTTCATCCATAAATGACCTTGACCTTCAAGGTTAAAAGTCCAATTTTTGCTTGTTCATGCTGTTATTGGCTGTAACTTTGTTATTTTTGAATGGATTGTCTTCAAACTTGAACATAATAATCTTCAAGGATATCCCTTAAAAATAACCCGCCAGACTTTGACGTTCACTCATAAATGACCTTGACTTTGAAGGTCAAATTATTGAAATTTTCATTATACCCCCACAAACGAAGTTTAGGGGGGGTATATAGGAGTCAGCTTGTTGGTCGGTCGGTTGGTCGGTCGGTCCGTCCGTCCGTTGGTCGGTCCACATCATGGTTTCCGGACGATAACTAGAGTTTGGAATGAGGTATTGTAATCAAACTTGGTATATAGCAACCTTATGTGAAAACTCCGGTTGGTATTGCATTTGGACCCCCTGGGGTCAAGGTCAAGGTCACCGTTACTAAAAATAGAAGAATGGTTTCTGGACAATTAAACTACATTTAGGAATGAGATACTGTTATCAAACTTGGTGTATAGCAAGCTTATATGAAGACCTGGGTTGGTATTGCATTTGGACCCCCTGGGGTCAAGGTCAAGGTCACCGTTACTAAAAATAGAAAAATGGTTTCCGGACAATAACTAGAGTTAGGAATGAGATATTGTTATCAAACTTGGCGTATAGAAAGCTTATATGAAGACCTGGGTTGGTATTGCATTTGGACCCCCTGGGGTCAAGGTCAAAGTCACCATTACTAAAAATAGAAAAATGATTTCCGTACAATAACTAGAGTTAGGAATGAGATATTGTTATCAAACTTGTGTATACCCCCACAAACGAAGTTTAGGGGGGGTATATAGGAGTCAGCTTGTCCGTCGGTCGGTCCACATCATGGTTTCCGGACGATAACTAGAGTTTGGAATGAGGTATTGTAATCAAACTTGGTATATAGCAACCTTATGTGAAAACTCCGGTTGGTATTGCATTTGGACCCCCTGGGGTCAAGGTCAAGGTCACCGTTACTAAAAATAGAAGAATGGTTTCTGGACAATTAAACTACAGTTAGGAATGAGATATTGTTATCAAACTTGGTGTATAGCAAGCTTATATGAAGACCTGGGTTGGTATTGCATTTGGACCCCCTGGGGTCAAGGTCACCGTTACTAAAAATAGAAAAATGGTTTCCGGACAATAACTAGAGTTAGGAATGAGATATTGTTATCAAACTTGGCGTATAGAAAGCTTATATGAAGACCTGGGTTGGTATTGCATTTGGACCCCCTGGGGTCAAGGTCAAAGTCACCATTACTAAAAATAGAAAAATGATTTCCGGACAATAACTAGAGTTAGGAATGAGATATTGTTATCAAACTTGTGTATACCCCCACAAACAAAGTTTAGGGGGGTATATAGGAGTCAGCTTGTCGGTCGGTCGGTCCGTCGGTCGGTCCACATCATGGTTTCCGGACGATAACTAGAGTTTGGAATGAGGTATTGTAATCAAACTTGGTATATAGCAACCTTATGTGAAAACTCCGGTTGGTATTGCATTTGGACCCCCTGGGGTCAAGGTCAAGGTCACCGTTACTAAAAATAGAAAAATGGTTTCCGGACAATAACTACAGTTAGGAATGAGATATTGTTATCAAACTTGGTGTATAGCAAGCTTATATGAAGACCTGGGTTGGTATTGCATTTGGACCCCCTGGGGTCAAGGTCAAGGTTACAAAAAAATAATGGTTTCTAGACAATAACTAGAGTTAGGAATGAGATATTGTTATCAAACTTGGCGTATAGAAAGCTTATATGAAGACCTGGGTTGGTATTGCATTTGGACCCCCTGGGGTCAAGGTCAAAGTCACCATTACTAAAAATAGAAAAATGATTTCCGGACAATAACTTGAGTTAGGATTGAGATATTGTTATCAAACTTGGTGTATAGCAAGCTTACATTAAGACCTGGCTTGGTATTGCATTTGGACCCCCTGGGGTCAAGGTCACCTTAACTAAAAATAGAAAAATGGTTTCCGGACAATAACTAGAGTTAGGAATGAGATATTGTTATCAAACTTGGTGTATAGCAAGCTTATATGAAGACCTGGGTTGGTATTGCATTTGGACCCCCTGGGGTCAAGGTCAAGGTCACCGTTATTTAATGGTTTCCGGACAATAACTAAAGTTAGGAATGAGATATTGTTATCAAACTTGGTGTATAGCAAGCTTATATAATGACCTGGGTTGGTATTGCATTTGGACCCCCTGGGGTCAAGGTCAGGGTCACTGTTACTAAAAATAGAAAAATCTCTGGACAATAACTAGTTAGGAATGAGATATTGTTATCAAACTTGGGGTATAGCAAGCTGATATGAAGACCTGGGTTGTTATTGCATTTGGGCCCACTGGGGTCAAGGTCATTGTTAATAAAAATAGAAAAATGGTTTTCTGACAATAACTTGAGTTAGGAATGAGATATTGTAATCAAACTTGGTGTATAGCAAGCTTATATGAAGACCTTGGTTGGTATTGCATTTGGACCCCCCTAGAGTCAAGGTCACTGTTACAGTGTTACTAAAAATAGAAAAATGGTTATTCCATTAAAACCGTTATTTAATGGTTTCCGGACAATAACTAAAGTTAGGAATGAGATATTGTATTCAAACTTTGTGAAAAGCAAGCTTATTTAGAGACCCCAGTTGGGATTACAATTAATTAAAATATTTCTTTGTACACAGTTGATAGTTTGTGTTCAAATTTTACTTCAGACTACTTATTTTTCAAAAAGTCAAAGTTGCTGGTGGGGGTATTAATCACCTTCAGTGATAGGTCTAGTTTTTTTGGCTATTATTGGCTGTAACTTTGTTATTTTTGAATGGATTGTCTTCAAACTTGAACATAATTATCTTCAGGGATATCCCTAAAAAATAACTAGACAGACCTTGACCTTCACTCATAAATGACCTTGACTTTGAAGGTCAAATTATTGAAATTTTCAGTTTTTTGGCTATTATTGGCTGTAACTTTGTTATTTTTGAATGGATTGTCTTGAAACTTGAACATAATAATCTTCAAAGATAACTGTTAAAAATATACCGACAGACCTTGACCTTCACTCATTAATGACATTGTCTTTGAAGGTCAAATTATTGAAATTTTCATTGTTTTGGCGGTAACTGACTGTAACTTTGCTATTATTGAAGGGATCAACTTCATATTATAACAGAACATTCTTAAGGACCAGACCTTGTTGTTTATCAAACCCAAATTTGCTTGGGCTCTTTAATGACCTTGACCTTGCAGGTTAAATTACTGAATTTTCTCAGATTTGTGCATTAAATGACCATAATTATATATTTATTGGTGTGTGTGTGTGTGTATATATATATATATATTTACAACAACAACAACAACAAGAATTGCGTAATGTTTCTATTTATAGAATTGCGTTATTGTTTCTATTGATAGAATTGCGTCATTGTTTCTATTTATAGATAGAATAGCGTCATTGTTTCTATTTATAGAATTGGGTCATTGTTTCTATTTATAGAATTGCGTCATTGTTGCTATTTTTAGAAATTGCGTCAGTGTTGCTATTTTTAGAAATTGCGTCATTGTTTCTATTTTTAGAAATTGCCTCATTGTTGCTATTTATAGAAATTGAGTCATTGTTTCTATTTTTAGAAATTGCGTCATTGTTGCCATTTTTTAGAAATTGCGTCATTGTTGTCATTTTTTAGAAATTGCATCATTGTTGCTATTTTTAGAAATTGCGTCATTGTTGCTATTTTTAGAAATTGCGTCATTGTTGCTATTTTTAGAAATTACGTCATTGTTGCTATTTTTAGAAATTGCGTCATTGTTGCTATTTTTAGAAATTGCGTCATTGTTGCCATTTTTTAGAAATTGCGTCATTGTTGCCATTTTTTAGAAATTGCATTATTGTTGCTATTTTAAGAAATTGCGTCATTGTTGCTATTTTTAGAAATTGCATCATTGTTGCTATTCATATATATATATACAAAATATATAAACAAAACTAATGTGGCAAGACAGACCAACTAAATTTATAAAAAGGAAACGTTAAGATATGTTTAAACCTTTCTATGTTTGCGTTTAGTAAAAAGTCGAGCATTGCCCCCGCCCGGCGGTGGCTCTTGTTACTGTTTGACTTTTGTCCGGGACATAACTTTAAAACTATTAGAGATATCAACATGAAACTTTGTAGGTAGCTAGATATCATTGAATAGAACTGCAATGCTTAAAGAACCTAAACAAAGCCTGGTCTAATTTTGGAGTTATTGCCCTTTGTTCATTTTTAAAACTTTGAATTTTACCCGGGACATAACTCTGAAACTATAAGAGATATCATCAGGAAACTTTATAGATAGATAGATCTCATTGAATAGAAGTGCAGTGCAAAAAAACATAACTCCGCCTTGCCTAATTTTGGAGTTTTTGCCCTTTGTTTATTATTTTATACTTTCCTGTGTCCAGAACCTTCTCGGGGAGCATCACCCGGACTGGTTCTTGTTTTAAGTTAAAAAGTTAGCAAAATATATTTTTAAAACATTTTACCTATTTAATTATATGAATATTTATTATAATGTATTACATAATCTTATATAAGAAAAAAGGCACATCATAATATATCTATCAATTTGTTGTTTGCTCAGATAATTGCAGCCCTCTCTGTAGCCTTACACATTCATTCTCCATTCTTGGAGAAAGGATTATTTATTTACACCTGCTAAATGTGCAGCAGGACAAATTTGGTGTCATGACCATTTTAAACTCTGAGTCAATGCAAACTATACTTTGTACCCATTAAACATTCAAGGATGAGTTTCAAAATTTGTGTTGGAGTGGTATCATGATATAGATTTTGATGTATGGTCTAATTGCAAAGTTAAAATGCTTTTCCATTTATTTTAATAGGATAGTTTTCAGTCAAAACTGCTCAATTAAATTGAATTCATTTTGAAGTAGTTTGAACTTGGTGTAAATCAAGAACTGATTATAGCATGGAATCTTTCAGAGTGGACAAAGTATAAAACAGAAACAGAAGTCTCTGATGGCCTTGCAGAAGGAGAGGATTGAGTAAGTAAAATAGTTACAATGTGAAAAACAAGTAAAGCATAACAAGGGACAGTAACATTACTACTAGCCCTTCATAGAAGCTGAAAAGAACAAGAGTTGAAACAGTGGATCAGGGACTTTAAATATTGTATTCATAGTTCAAAAATGAAGGATAATTTTCTTTCGGAATTGGAGAACTGATTTGGATTGATGAAGTTGTATGGAATTTCTGATAATCTTTATTTAGGATATGTAAATATTGGTTGAAAAAAGAAAACAAAAGGAACAAATACATCAAATATTTTTGGTAACTTATTTTTATTTTTATTTTGCCCCCACTGGGGGCCATTTAGATTTACCCTTGTCCATCCGTCCATACATCCGTCTGTCCGTCCTCATTTTGTGGCAATCATGTTACTTTTTGAACATTTCATTGCCATTTCGGCTCTTTGTACTTCAAAAGTTTGCACTTTTAGTAGTTGTGAGTTTAGTTCCATCATTTGTTTTTGTAATCCCAACCCAAGTTGATGTTGGTACTGATTGGATTTGTTCAAGGCATCCAGCATTTGTTTTTGATGCTGGATCATTGTGTTTTCTAACTGTTTGAATCTAGTGTCTATTGATTCTTCTAGTTTGAGTATTTTAGCACAGCAGCACTGATTATGATTTTCTTCATCCATTAGTGGTGTGGATGAGGAAAGTTTTCTCTTCAGGATGTTAGGTGGTTGGGGAAGTTGATCCTGATCAGCTGCACTCTGAGTATAGTTTAAAGAAGTGAATCCTGGCAATTGAACTGCTGAGTACAGTAGCTGATTGGTGAACTTCGGAAGCTCAAAGTCATTCTTTGATTGGTCATCTGGTGCTGGGGACACTGATACCACACTAATATCCTCTGTATACGGAGTATTTTGTGTAGGCATTCCACACAAATTAAGTTCCTTTTCCATTGAGTATACAGTATTCTCTACTTCACAATTTGTTCTAAAATTTTGATTTACCAAGTAATCAATGTCCTCTTTCGAAAAAGTTTCACTATTAAGTCCAAAAGTGTCGTTTTTGAAAGTTTTGAAGTAAGATTTTCTTCTTTGAGTAATATCGAAAGAGTTGACCGAAGTCCTTTTTTTATGAGATTTTTTTAAACAGTGTGCAATTAACCGTAATTCCGTATCGAACCTTAACTCACAGTTAACACATATATAACTTCCAAAATAATATGGTACGTATTTTAGGAAGTGTCATCTTAATTTTTGGAAATTTCTAAAATCTTTACTGCAGTTGTTACACTGAGGCATTATTTGAATATCTGACTAGTTTCACATTTTTATATTGTCTTATACCAAACAGTATATCCCTCACACATGTAACAATTATTCATGGTCCATCATTTTGTGATTCCAGTTTCTTAGAAAACAAAAGGGGCTGATTGTGCTCCTTTTACAACATACCTGAGGTTTTTACAATGTACCTGAGCATTTCAGGTATATAGTTTCACTGAATGCATCTTTTGTTTAATAGAATGTTTACACTGGCCATCAGTCCATATTCACTTATTCCCATATTTTTGTAAATGTTAATTTGCTTGATAAAATTGTGTCTGTTTCCTGTTTCTCTGACCACGTCTTAAAGATGCTGCATCAATTACTTTTTTATTTTGATTCTTATTAGATGTTGTCCTCTTAATTTGATTTCCTTTCCTTTTGAAGATAATAGTTTCTTTTTGTTTAACTGTTGGTAGTGAATTTTCTTCGTTATTTAAGTTAATTTTGATGGCACTGACCCACTGTGGAATAATACTGGCAGTATATCTTTTTAATTTGTCATGGTGAACTATTTTTGACTTTTTCTTGTTTTTGATTTTAAACAAAAGGTCTGAGAATTTCTTTATGACAACAAAAGGGCCCTGCCAAATGATAGGTTCTAGCTTCTTCGATCTACCAACTGTTCTAGATTTGTCAAGGCAGTAAACTAAATCTCCTACATTTAAGGTGTTTTTATGTACTCTTGAATCATAATTGCGTTTTTGTCTCTTCACTGCTGATTTTGTATGTTTCCTGGCCAGTGAATATACTTGTTCTAACTTAGCCTTAAGATTTTCAACAAAATTGCTCGAATAAGGATTCTCATTTGCTGGAAAACAACCATATTGTAACTGAATTGGCAGTACAACTTCTCGGCCAAACATCAACATGTTCGGTGAATATCCCGTAGAGGCATGCTCACATGACCTATACGCAAATGTCACTAATTGCAAGTCTTCATCCCAATTGGTTTGATTGTCATTTATGTATGTTGTTATCATGTTGTATAAACTTTGATTAAAACGTTCCACCATTCCATTCGCAGAAGGGTGAAAACTTGATGTACGTGTTTGGTTAATCTCAAGAAGACGACAAACTTCTTGAAAAAGCTTCGATTGATAATTTGATCCCTGATCACTGTGTAAATCCAAACAAATACCATACCGACTGAAAAATTCATAAACAAGTTTCCTCGCTACAGTTTCTGCAGTCTGGTCTTGAAGCGGATAGCACTCAACAAATTTCGAGAACTGGTCCATGGCTACAAGAATATAACGATTTTGTTTTTCTGTGCATGGTAAAGGTCCAATAATATCTGTGCAGACTCGATCCATTGGATTTGACACTAAATAGTGTGCGAGACTATGTCTTCCAGGATTAGAAGGCATTTTCCTGAATGAACATACTGTACAGTTCCTGATATACTCCCGAACATCAAATTTCATATGATACCAGTAAAATGAACACTTTATCTTTGATAATGTCCTGTCTATTCCTTGATGCGCTGATAGTTTAGAGTCATGACACGCTTTTAATACATCTCTTTTGAGCAATGATGGGAGAACCAGTTGTTCTCTAATCGTAAAATCTTTGTTTGTAAACTTCCGAAATAGAACATTGTCCTTCAGACACAAAATGTCCCAGTTCAGCCACAAATTCCTTACTGCAGGTGATTCAGCAGCAATATCATCTCTCGAAGGCTTTCTATTTTCCTCCATCCAGAGAATTATGCGACCCACATCTGGGTCATTTCGTTGCAACCTTGCGAGACTTTCCGGACTATGATTCACAAGAAGCGAGGGTTTAAACACTTGGCTACTGACGGTAGTGTCATGGTCGTTCGGAGAAAACGACTTACTAGCCAGCTTATTTCCCTCTTTCACGAACATTATTGGCCTCTCAACATCTGTTCCGGATGCTTCACAAAACTGCATTTGACTTAAACATCCTCCTACCCCAGTGTCACTCGCATCAACATCCAAGATAAATAAGCCTGTATTATTTGGATAGGCTAACACTTCATTACCGCAAAGAACTGATTTTAAGTCCTCAAATGATCTTTGTTGCTCTTCGCCCCAATGAAATACCTGACCGGCCCCCATCAATCTATTCATTGGTGCAGCTAGCATTGAAAATGACCTGATAAATCTTCTGTAGTAGGAGCAGAATTGAACAAAGCTCCTAACTTCTGTTAAATTTTTAGGCACAGGCCAATTTTTTATGCACTCTACTTTATTACCAGTTGGACTTACTCCATCACCACTCACAGTAAATCCTAGAAATTCAACTGATGTCCTAAAGAGGTTGCATTTCTCGGGTTTCAGTTTTAAGTTAGCTTGCTTTAACTTTCCAAAAATATCTTTCAACCTGCTAACATGTTCCTCGAAACTTTTGGCAAAACAAATTATATCATCAAGATAAATCAATAATGTTTTCCACTGGAGTCCGCGAAATACTACTTCCATCACACGCTGAAAGGTTGATGGTGAGTTACAAAGTCCCATGGGTAAAGTAACATATTCATAGAGTCCATTTTTGCTTGTACAAAATGCCGTTTTGGACCTGTCCTTTTCATCAACTTCAATTTGCCAAAATCCACTAGCAAGGTCACAGGTACTAAAATACACAGCTCCATGTAATGAGTCCAAACATTCATCAATTTTTGGTAACGGGTATGCATCTTTTACAGTAATATCATTTAGTCTTCTGTAATCAATACATGCCCTAGTACTTCCGTCACGTTTCTTAACAAAACAAAGTGGAAATGACCAAGGACTGTTACTTTCCTTGATAACTCCAGCTGCTAGTTGCTGTTGAATTACCTTTTCTTCTTGACCTTCAAATGCTTTCGGCACCCGTCTCGGCGGTATTTTGATTGGCTGTGCTTTTGCTGTATTGATTTGGTGCTTTATAACACTAAATCTCCCTAAGTCACTGGGACCGGTTGAAAATATTGATTTAAATTCCTCTAATAAAGAAGCAAGGGTAAGTTTTTGCGTTTGAGTAAGATTTACACAAGAACGATTGTATAAGTCTTGTAGCGGTTTACTCCATTTTGCTATATATGCATCTAAACTGTCCATTGTTAAACTTTTTACACATGTCTGATTTAATGATGATTGTTCCTCACAGATATCACTTTCCTCAACTTCTTCTATAAAACCTAAAGTCGAACCTTCATTAATTGTAACCTTTTCCTGTGAAGTATTTATCACTCTGATAGGTATAGACTGTCCCTTTTTCAGTTGCTTAGTGTCATAAATTGAATGTCCAAATGTAATATGCCTTTGCATCCGTGGAAGATCATGTAATACTTTCAGATGGTTAAAATATCCAGTTTTAAAATCAAAAGAACTGCTGTTTGCTTTACCAGGAATAATGCACTCAGAGTCTGGTGGTAAAGAAATTGTCTCTGTACATGTAACTCTAACAGCTCTTAAAGGAACATTTTCAATTAAAGTTTCACACCTTTTCCCACGCAACTTCAAACCACTTTTGTTTAATTATAGTCATAATAATGCAGAAAATCCAAGCCAATTAATCCATCTTCTCGAATGGCTGCGACCAGAACATTCCATTGAAAGTAATCTTTACCTATCTTAAAATCAACTGACATTATTCCGTCAACTTGCAAAAGTCCATTATCCGCAACTTCAAGTCTAAGAGAATTGTCAACTGGTTTTAACTCTGGTTTCTTTGAATTGGGAATTTTGTTATATAAAG